CAGAGAAACCTCAAAGAAAAGGTGACATTTGGACAAGTATTTGAAGGAAGTGAGACAGTGAGTCGAGGATTTCTAGAGGAAGAACATTGCAGGGCAAAGGACCAGCCTGTGTCATGGCTCAGGTAGTATAGTGCACAGTTTTCAAGAAACAGTGAGGAGGCTGCTGTGGCTGGAGCAGAGTGAGTGATGAGGAGGATAGAAAACAGACTCAAGGCAGTGAAGTGAACTTCATTATATAGAATCTTGGAGGCCACTGTGAGGACCTCGACTTTGGCTAAAGAGCCACTGCAGGATTTTGCAAGGCCAAGGGAGTAGCATGACCTGATTTCCTGATCTCTGAGGGTGCTGGGAAGAGAGCAGCCTGGGGGACAAAGAGGTGAGGTTAGAAGGGGGACTCAGACCAGCCAGACTGGTCTTGTGAGTCTTAATGCTGGCTAGGCCCAGGGGCTGAAGGGGCTGCTGAGGGAGAAGTGGGAAGATTCTGGAATATTCTGGAAGTAGAGACACCAGGTTTGCTGACCCGTTGTGTGGAGTGTGAGAGGAGAAGGGCTAGGGTGACCCAGTGCCCCATTGTTCTGTCTCAAGGCTCGTCAGGGTGACGATGGCCTGGCTGCCTAGCGTGGGTCGATACCACCAGAAGAAAAGGCAAGGAATAGAGGCAGAAAAGTTCAAGTACTCTTTTGTTTTTGAATCTATCTCTAAGCCTCAAACTTCAAAGAAAGAGACAGGGAAGGCAGGGTGGAAAACACAAAAATAGATTTTCAAAGACTTATTTTCAGGTTTTCCCTTCTCTTTCCTTTTTTTTTTTCTTCTTCCCAGCCATGGTCTGTGCACTGAAGTTTGTGTGTGGTCACTCCCTTTCCATCTGTCTCCCATTTTTTCTGTGTTGCCGATTTTCAGAATATTCTGTGGCATGCACTGTAATCTGATCGTGAAAGGTTCCTTTTGTAACCTGCCTATTACAAACTGGGTGGAAAGATGTGAAGCAATTTCCAAGGGGCTGCTTTAATTTATTAATAGCAGAACAGAAGCCAAATTCATTCCCTTGGGGTGGACAGACCCTCCAAAGGTGGTCTGCCTTGCTGCGTGAGGCTTCTGTTTTATCTCAGAATGATTTGGTCAAATATTATGATTGTGGTGGTTTATTCTAAATTCATTTTGATTCACATTAGGCCTTTATGCTTTGATCTTTCCTTACCACCTCCTCAACACACTCTTCTGAGGACACTCAGCTGGTACTCTTTTGCAAATTTCAGAACAAGTTAAACTATATTAAAATTGTGTACTAGGTTTTGACGTAGGTGCCTCACGATTTGAGCAGTTTGCTATTTCTGAAATCTCTAAGTATACAAGTATCTGTAGCTATATAAAGCTACAACACCTTAAAGGCTTACACCACATCAGAGTATATTTTTTAAGGACACCTTAAAACATGTTAAAAATCACTTCTTTGCTGACCTTGCAATGATCTTGCACTGATCTTGATTCCTTAGCACCGAGCATAAAGCTACACAATTGTTTATTAGATCCATCCTTCTGTGCCACCCCTTAGGACAATGTAGAATCTGTGCCTAAAATTTGGAGCTGATTTTTGGAGGATTCCCTGAAACACAAGGTCTTAGATCCTTAAATTCCTGGGTCTGGGTGTAGCATCTTCTCCAGTCCTGCCTGTGTGCACTGAAAGTTAGAAAATAGCAACAGTCGCCTTAATGCAACCCAAGACCACATCACCCGTATCCTGAGGTTTTGTTGGTTTGTTTCTCCTTTGCCTCTTGTTAACAGAGTTTCCTCAATGCCACACACTGTGATAGGCCTTCACACACATTTTCTCACTGAAGCCTTACATTTAACTAGTGGGCCGATATACCAGTGGAATCCCCATGGAAGAGATGAAAAACCTGAAGCTCAGAATTATGCAGAAACTTATCAGAAATCACCTGGCAGAGCCAGTGAAAGATCTGTGCCTGAGCTCAGATCTGCCTGCACTGAATCATCTCCTCATAGCCTCAGTGTTGTGCTGTCCCCGCCACTTGTACCCGGCTTGGTGTTCTCCTAGCATGTGCTTAGTCCTGAAGCTGCCGTGTCTTCCTACCCCAAGGCACAGGGTCACTTTGGAGGTCACAGGTTCTGTATTGGCTTCTGCCTCGGTCCTGTCCAGGAGCCTCACACAGCCTCTCAAACTTTGGCCCTGTGCTGACCCCAAGAGTATCTGATAACTAGAATGAGCACACCTTACTTCCAGGCTCTGCCCACCAACCTTGAAGGGCACATGTGTGTGCTGAATGCTGTAGGTGGGCCTGCGACCTCTGCTTTCTAGAAAGTAATCTTCCAGGGGAAATTCCTTTAGGCTATGGAGCAGCCATTGTTAGCACTTAACATGCAAAATAGTTGTCAGATCATTTTAGTGGGACCGAAGAACAGTCAAGAGAAGGGGCTGAACTAAAGTTCAAGAAGTCTGCAGAGAAGATAGCTCTCAAACCGCCACGCTGCTTCACCTTGCTGCCCATGGGACTAGACCCCATTTCTCAGTAGCACAGAGAATGTAAGATGCTGCTGCAATGAGAAAAGTAGTAGTACACAGTCTAGAAAACCCTCTCTGGTTGTACAGTGTTTGAGAACCTACAAAATCCCAATTCCAGAATCCTTTCCTACCCTGTTCACAGTCATTCCTTGGAGAATCTGGGAAAACCAGCCTCATTCTTGACCCATTCTGTACTAGTGGATGCTTCCTGGCTAGTGGGTGACCATATCCTTGCATATTTTAGGGTCCCTTTTTTAATCATTTATCTCAGGCACACATCTAAGCTCTGAAAAGATTCTTATAAACACAAACAATACGTGTTTAGCTGGTTTCTAACTAATATTTTCTCTGTCATGTTTCATGACTTTAGGACATTATTTGGATTGGGTTATTTCAAGTTTCATTTCCACGGACTTGTTTCCTCTTTGGAATCCTTTTGTACTTTATTATTATTTTATATATAATTTTAATATAGCAAATATTGATCATCTTTAATTCATAAAGCTGCAGAATGATCTGAGCTCAAAGAGTGAGCCTAACAACACAGTTGAATGATTTTGCTTGGAGAAGGTGCAACTCCAATAAATTTTCAGAACCGCCTTTTTCCTCTCCCGGGGTGAAAAGCACATAATTAGGGACTTTTTGAAGTTTTCTTCCACAAGAAGTAGCCCTTCCTGTGGCAAAAGGCTGCAGAGTACCAAGTATCACTCTTCTTGCTGGTTTTGGTCCTCAGGAAAGACCAGACCGGGCAGCTGGAGGGGTGGTGTGCATCTGTTCTGCCCAGCAGCCTGCAGGTGATCACACCCCCTGACCCCTGCCTCCTTCCTGTATTCTTCATCTCTTTTTTCTTTCCTTCTTTGCTCCCTTTTACCCCCTCCTTTTCTAGAGCCTGGATTTTCTTTCCTTTCTCCTTTTACTGCAGTAGTTTAGCCTGGAGATTAAATAAAAGCAACCATGCTTAAAGCACCTTCCAGGATGGTGAACCTCACGATGGCCTTCAGCACTCCTCAATGAGGGGCATCGTACCCATCTCCTCATCCTTCTTTCCCATCCCCTATGCAGCCCAAGCCATGTCCTGAGCTCCTTTTCTCTGAGTAATGCCCTCCCCTTGAGAACACGCCCTGAGCGCACATTCACTGTCTAGACTGAAGTGCCTCTGTCCTAGAGGCTGCCTTCGTGTAGCAGGATGTTCATGTTTGTGGCTGATGAAGCTCTGAGCAGAGGACCCCATGCTATCTCTGTCACCCCTGGACAGGCTGTGTCACTCCCAGCCAGCTGCACAAGTCATCACTATGACCATATCCATAATCCACATCCATAAGGAAGGGAGGGCAGTGGATACCAACTTGCATGTCCCATCCTAGCAGGAAGGACTCTCCAAGAGAAACATTTTGGTTTGGTTTGGCTTGATTTGGCTTGGTTTGGATGGTTTGGTTTTGTTTCGTTTGTTTCTAAGTAGAAAAGTGGAATGGGATCCCCTGTTAATATGCTGCTAGGGAACACAGCCAACTAAAACTGCCCAGTGGGAAAATTGTAGGGGTTAAAGTATTTTGAGCTCATCATATCTGAATCTAGGCAATACTCAGTCAGTTTAAAATGAGAGTCTTTTACATCTTGAATGTTCCTAAGGCAGAAAATCCAGGATTAAAAAAGAAGGAGAAATGTGCTGTGTCCCTACTCCCTGTACCTTTGCATGCTTGTTTCCTGTGCTCCCTGCATGTGTTTGCCCATTGCTGTGTCCATACTGAGGAAGAAAGGCTGCCCTGCACTTGTGGCATAGCTGTGTGGGTGATTACTTTAAGGATGGTATTTTTTCCAGCACCTTTCCCAAAGTGTCTCGTCACCAACATGACCTGCTGTGCTTGGTTGATCATTCTTTGCCCTAAATCTCCAAGTGGAATCAGTTGCCTCCTTGATGCTTTAACTGCAGCTGACTCAGCTGTCTAGAAAGCTGTGGTGGCTGTCCTTGATTCATTTAGAAACTGCAATGTTAATTATGATAAATGCTTGAAAACCAAAGTCAAATCAAAGGACCCTGGGCTTGGCTTTCCTTCCCAGCTCATTGGCAAAAGCTGATCTGGGATGAGCATTTAACTCCAGACAAATGGCTATGCCTCCAGAGCAGCTCTGTTCTTTAGACTGTTATGGAACACAGCAGCAGGGGGGGCTTGATGCTTTCATTTATTTTGTGAGCAACTGGGAGGAGAGGGAAGAGGTCCAAGTCCCACCTTTTATCTATGGTCCAGCACCTTAAGGTTTTCAGACGGAGAAATGGGCTAAAGAATCCACAAAGGTAAGAAAATTCTTTCATGCAGGTGGTGGGGCTTTTGGGCTGGACCAAATTGCATGGGCACTGCTGTGGACAGACGCAGCTGAAGAAGCCATGTGCCTGCTCTGCCAGTGCCTCCAGTTGGCCACGAGACCTTTCCTTTATCTTCTCCTCACTGTGTCTCCTCCCTCCAACTTTCTCTTGCTTCAGGGAGGTTCAGAGAAAAGGCTTCAATTCTCCACAAGATCGCTAAGAAGAAATGCCAAGTGGATGAGAATGAGAGGCAGAATGGGGCTGCCAATCATGTCGGTGAGTACAGAGCCCCCATCCTGAACATGGGGAAGAAGGGATGGAACAAGAGGCAGAGCCAGTGTGGGGGGACCTGCTCAAATCCCTGCAGCTTGGCTCTTTCCTACACATCAGGAAGTGAGTCCCTCTTTCCCGAGGCGGGCAGGACAGGAGCAGACACAGTATGACACCAGTGACTCTGGTAGAGGTTCAAGAACATGAAATGATTCTAACCAACTCCTAACCAGGCATCACCATTCAGGAGCAGACAATACCTCGCTTCAGGGATTCCACATAAACGGGACACATACACATTATTTAATGTTTAACGCAAGATGAGAATCCCCCTTTCTGTAATTCTTGTCTCTTATACTTGTGACATCGCTTACAGCATACCCCCTAAATTGCAGACCACCCAGATGACTGAGATGGCAAAGTCCCTTTGAGCTGAGCCTGCCTCTTCTTCCTTAACAGTTCAGAGCATCAACCCAGGTCTCTTTGGCTGACTTTTCCAGAGCTCCTATGTGACCAGATTGTGACATTCAGCATTTTATTTTAACTTGGAGCATGATGTTCCTGCTCTTCTGTCTATAACTATAATATAACTCTCTAATTCTAAATTCAAACTAAATTTAACCTAATCTGGATCTATGCTATAAACGAAGCTATTGCCCAAGTAACTAAAATTATCTGTAGACAAATTCAACAGTGTTGCACTCAAAAAACATGACACTCTGTAGAAGTCTTTCCTTCTCTGTTATCCTCACTTCCATCTTAGGGAAACTTCTAGCCAAGAAACAGTCAAGATTCAATTGCATGTAAAAAGAAAAACTGGACAGCTAAACTGTTAACAGTGGTTCTGCTTGAATTGGGGTTATGGATTATCTGTTTTTCGTCTGCTTCTTTATGCTTCCATGAACTTGGACACATTTTTTTAGAATGAGAATATTTGGCTTTTATATTATAAAAAGGTAAACCCACACCACAAATTCTATTGCCTAGGATAGGTATGGCTTGTGATATCTAGGTTCGATTACACAAGCTATTTTTTTTTCTGTTCCACTTGCTTATTTCTTGTGTGGAGTGAAGTAGCTTGGATTAAAGATTGGATGCTTGGGTTCTTCTCAGTCCTCCTCCTAGTGAGTGGGGACCTTTGGCTTGGATTGAATCTTCTATGAGAAGGCAGGACACATAACTCCAAAGAGCTTTCCAATGTTGCTGGGTCTGTGAGTGACTTTGTAACTAAAAAATAATATGTATCTAAAATCAAAGCCTTTCAAAGTAAGACCAAGACTTAAAACATTTGCATGTTATCTTTGGTGGTGAGACCTCCAGCAATATGTAAAAGTGCTCCATAAGCTAAGCTGTGCATACTCAAGTCGGGTATTATGTCTGGTAGGTAGCTTTTTCTTGCTCATGTCTGCCCTTGGATGTCTTAAGTCCCTTTGGTACCCAGTATCCTGTGTTGCTAGGATCAAATCTGGCCATGGCAGGCTGATCCTGAGATTGTATTACTTCCTCCAAAAAGGATTTTCATATTCCCCAAATCAGTATTATTTAGTTTAAATAACTGAAACAAACATACCAAGATAAATTGTAGGCAGATAAGGTACAGTTTAAAATGTAGGCAGATAAGGTACAGTTGAGTTTCTGCTAAATCAATTTATGCCTCTATATGCTACAACTAAATACATAAATATAAGCATTTTCCTGATTCCCAGTGTTTGTCCACTTCAAACACAATTTTTATGTAACTCTTGAATTATTTTCTGAAGCACCAGAAATGAAAAATGAAATTTCTGAGGCAGAATGTTTAGTTCTTCTGAAGCTGCTAGGAAAACAGCCTGATCCTGCTCCCATGTGACACTGATCAGCAGTGGCCCGCTCAGCTGCACTCTGTCCTGCATCCAAGGCCTGGCCCTGGCATGAGGTTCCAATGCAAACCTTTTATTTCCTTCCCACTGAAGTCCTGGCTGATCCCCATGGTAGCTGAGCACTGATCTGCTGCAGGTGCTTTCTTAGCCCTGAAAAGAAAATCTCCTAGCAGAAGGCAGGGACTGTAATGGGAATTCACATACCTGTTCCTTGCTTGCTTTCTTTGCACCAGGCACTGTACTCAGTGCTTTCTGGGCATTTTCTTAACCCTTACAAAAGTACCATTTGATCATGCTGTTGTGAGTGTTACTGTTATCAGTAGTGCAGCAGCCGTACTCATCATAGTATTGTTAGCATCGCCTCAATTTCCTAGGTTAGGAAACTGGATCTTGGAGTGGTTAAGTCACTTACTAAGGGCCACACAGCGTACTGCACAGGGTCCGTTGCCATCCCATGTCAGACTCCCCAGTCATGGCCCTCGAGTTGCTTCTTGGCTCTCAGAGGAGACATGGATCCAGCACTTGCTGACCTATGCTTTCAATTTGGGCAGCTGCTCACTCTTGGCCAGCAGTGACCCAGACTTTGGCCTCTGTTCCTTGTGCAGCTCCCTCTTGCTTGGCCTATAACAGAACACACAGGTGTATGGTACGCTGAGTAGCATTCTCCAGGAATCTCGAGGACAGCCAGGTTGCCAAGCCTGCCTCTCTGATGGCCAAGGCTCCACTCACAAAGCTGGAGATAATCAGAGCTAAAAGCAATGGGCTTTGGTGCTCAACCAGTTGGAGCTACTCATTTCACAGTTAGGGGTCCCAGAACACAGAGGAAGGAAGGGCCTTGCTGAAGATGATGGCCTCACAGCAGCAATAAAACCTGGGACCATTTTCCCCACCCAATATTCTTTCCAGAGTGCACTGCAGACAATCCGGCAGTAGGAGGAGTGTGGGCCAGGGTGTAAGGAGCAGTGTGCCTGTCGGGTCTCGCTCTGGTCTCTCGAGTGGTTAGTTTACCTAGAGTAGAGAAAGGCATGCCATAGGAGCCCCTGAGCATCTGGTGATGCCACACCAGAGCAGAAGCCAGAGTGCTGCTGGGGAGGGAGTGGAAGTAGCATGCTGGGTGGCATGGGGAAGGAGGATAGAACCCCAATGCTGCCCTGGGTTCTCAGATACAACTGTCTTTTCCTTTGGCCCAGCATCTCAAGATGTCCTTTCCAACCTGTCCTCTACCCCGTAATGATTCTGCTTGTTTTCTTTGTGTGTGTTTAAATTGTGTCACAGAAAAAATCGAACTCCCAAACAGCACAAGCACAGAAGTTGAAATGACACCATCCAGCGAGGCTTCGGAACCTGTACAGAATGGAAATCTCTCCCATAGTATCGAGGCAGCAGAGACCCAGGTATGGTACTTTCCCAAGGCCCTCCTGGCTGCTGTCCGAGCTGATGCCCCAGCCCAGCAACACCATGGGGCCCCAGCTACCAGCTCCACAGACCTCAAGAAGGGTCTGCTTCTGTCTTGTGTGTATTTCCCAATATCAAACCATGACCAACATTTCCTGGATGGCTATGCATATTCTCTAAGCCACTGTTTTCAAGGTGAAATAGGAGGATGTGTGCATCAGGGTCCCCAGAGATGAAGATGCAGGCCTCTGAGCCACATCCCAGAACTGAAAACAGATCTCTCGGAAGCAGCACCCAGATGTTAGCATTTTAAGGAGATTCTTAAGGTATGATAAACTTTGATAGCTGCTACCATCTAATTCTCTGCACCCTTAAGGTTGGGGTTAAATGACAGATAAAGCGCAGCCATCACACCGAGATGAGACCCCAGCCTTCTCTAGCTGTGGTAGAAATGAACTCTCTCACTCAAGCCACTGTTCTACCTGGTAGGTATGACACCTATGCCATCTGAAAAGCATCTGCTGTGTGCCACAGATTGGCACTAGCACTTCCTGTATGTTTCCACCTTGCTACCTCGAAGCTAAAGGTGTAGATGTGGGATCACCATTCTGTAGAGGCAAAAGCTGAGCTCAGTGAGGTGGAATAGTTGAATGGTGTTACCTGGCTGCTGGCTGCAGAGCTGCAATTTGTCCCGGGAGTAATGGAATATGGTGCCCAGGCTATTTCCACCTGTGACACTGCCTCTAGACCATGCTTGCTTAGGAAGTGTGCAGGACCACTGGTGCTTGTTAGATTTCTGGGTGGCATCCTTACTCAGTGAATCAGGCATCCCAGGGTCAGGGCTTCTCAAACTTAAAATTCTTTAAAATTCCCAGGGCACAAGGACCCGAGTTCAATCCCCAGTACCAAAAAAGAAAAATTCCCAGAGAGTGAGAGGCTGAGGGCCGTGTTAAAATTCAGGTTCAGAATGGTCAGGTCTGCAAGGCTGGAGAGTGAATTCTACAGGGCTCCCCTGTGGGCAGTGCTGCTTGTCCAGCGCCCACACTCAGAGGAGCACTGGACATAGCCCTGCACTCTGCTCTGCTTTATACCAGAAGACACTCTGCTAGAGAGGAAGTCTGCCTTCTTAGGGGAAAACGTCCTCGCTGTTGCCTGCTGCCCTCCTCCTAATACTTTAGAGTGCCCTCCTATAAAGGAGGGGATAAAAAGCCTGCCTCTCCAGCCCTGTTTCCCTGTCTCCTCTGCCTGAGCCCCTCCCCTCCCACAGCCAGCTCTGTGGTCCCTGTGCACAGTTGGAGGAGAGGAAGTGGCAGAGCTGCATATCCACAGGACAAGCAGCGAGTGGCAGTCGGGGGCTCCCTGGGGACGGGCTGCCCAGGCTGCCATAGTCACGTGTGCAGATCCTGCCATGTCCCGTGCTGCTCCACCGGCTGGCAGAGGGACATCTGACCCTCCTCCAGCAAAGCCATGCCCAGGTAGAAACAAGGAGCCAATGCCCTCAGCCCTGGAACAGACATGCCTTCCAAGAGCCAGCCACCGAGACCTGCAGGGGGTTCCAGAGGCACCAGGGCAAGGTACCAAACCTTGCTGAGCTCTCATTTTCCCATCTCAGCTCTAAAGACCAGATCATAATACTACCTGCCTTGTTGAGGTTGTTACGGAAGTTAAATGAGACAATATGCATAAAGCACTCAGCACAGAGATAGATGCTACTTATATGAACTTACTTGCCATTTAAACTCCATCCAAGAGGTCCCTTCCCTGAAGGAGCTCCTTGTAGATAAAATGGAAAAGCTTGGCATATATGCACAATATTTGATATTTGGCATAAGAATAAGTCAACCAGTAAAAGTTATGACCTAGGATGAGCATGGAGGTCTGTACAAAGTACTCTGGGAGCCACTCAGGATGAAATTAATCCTAGCTAGCAAAGATGGCAAACCTCCATAGAAGAGGTGACATTTGAGCTGGGTGTTGATGAATGAGTAGGAGTCTATCACTCAGAGAAGAAAGAAATAACCAAAATATCAACATGTGCAAAGGTGTAAAGCCTTAAGAAAGAAATGCAAGTTTAGTGATTGGTGAGAAAGATGATAAAACTAGAGACAAAAATATAAGCTGAGGAGTGAGGCGAGATCTACCAGGAAAGGTAAATTGGCTTACATTCCCCAGTTGTTCATCTGCTCAGAAAATATTTGCTGTTCATCTGTGTCAGGTAGAATGATGACACACTGGGTGCTAGCGATGCCCACGGCCTCGCAGGCCAGGACTGTGAGTACGACCAGAGTGTGCAGACAGCCACGGGCCAGGAGGGAGGTGCAGTGGCTGAAGGAGGAGCAGGTGGAGAGGCCCAGGACAGAGCCTGAGTAGGCAGGGCCCTGGAGAAGGAGAGGCAGGGAGAAGATGCAAGAGGGCTCGCTGGAGGGGTGCTGGCGTAGGGCCAACAGACACGAAGACAGGCAGGGTGGCAGTGCTGGCACTGTGACACCAGGACAGAGCACCGGCTTCTTCTGGTAGCCACAGGCCCACCCATGACTGACATTTCACAGTCTCCTGGGTTGTGGTCCAGGATGTGGATCTGGGGAGGCACAGCTTATAGGTGGAGAGGCTGCGGGAGCTGACAGGCAGGATGGGGCAGGGACACAGGGCGGAGGTGCAGGACTGAAGAGGACAAGCCTGTCTGCCCTAATCCCGGGGTCTGGGCAGGACTTGAAGAGCACGGCACAGCCCCCACCGTGTGACAGGAAGATGGCTCTTTGGTAATGGGCCAGAAAGATCAGAACAGAAGAGGCTGGAGCTGGGAGTCAGCCGAGACACTGCTCCATGGGCCTGGGCTGGTCTGCAGACTGTTTCTGTAAGACCCATGAGATGAGAATGAGTTTTACATTTTTAAAAAAGGAAGCAATAGAAACATATGTGACAGAGACCATATGGACCTCAAAGCTGGAAATATTTACTGTCTGGCCCTTTACAGGAAAAAACTGTCCATACCTAATACAGACCATCTGTAGTCTTGAAAGAGAAAGAGAAATAACGAGGATGTTTTCCTGTACTGATCTAGAATGATCTTCAATACATGCTGCTGAGTGAAAAAGGCAACATGCCAAATTTGTCTTATACTATAGGTTAGTATAGCATGCTGTATTTATACATGGAAGACAGACTCGGAAAGGAATAACCTGTAAGCATTTGCTATCGAAGACAATTGTCGTGTTGACACCTTCAGAACAGGATCTGCCATGGAATGCTTTGGTGAGAGTCTTTTCTGTGTATAATCTTCTGTGGCTTTGGACTTTGAGCCAGGTAACTGTATTATGTATTCAAAAAAGACTAACAATCAAAATAATAATGGGTTAAATTAAAACAGAAGCAGTGTTCTGTAGTCCCTGGAACCAACTTGGAGACAGACACTTGCATTCAGATCCCACTTCCGCTCCTTCCCAGCTGTGTGACCAGCAGCACCTCTGTGCTCCAAGTCCCTCTGCAAGACAGGTGTTCGCAGTAACCGCACCAACCTTGTAGCATTGCTGGGAGGATCCGTTGCTCTTGGAACAGTTCTAGATACCTAGTAAGCATCTCCTAGGTCTTTGCTGTTATTAGCAGTACTTAATAAAAATCTCTTCAATGGCTATTAATAGCCCAGATGACAAGGTGCAAGTATTGGCTGTAGTGTCAATGGCAGCAGGTGGATTTGAGGGTTGTTCCTGTGCCAGTGTTGAAAAGATGTGGTAATAAACCAGTCATAGAAAATGAACAAGAAAAGGAAGCTGTAGCTGATCCTGAGGTTTCCAAGCTGAAAAGATTGGGTGATGGTACATTAGGGTTATGGCTCCAGAATTTTTTAAAAAGATGGGAACATTCAGGTCACCTAAAGCAGTTTCACAGAAATGATTTAGTGCCTTTTTGTTCTGTTAGCTTGCTTTCTTTCTGGGTTGTGTTTTTATCAAGCTTCATGCTGAGTGAGGTGTGCATCCTGACTTTATTCATAGAAACTCTCACTGCCCGTATTCTCCTGAGGGTTCAGCCCGTCTCCTTAATTAACCTGCTGTTTTGAAAATTCTGTTTACAAGGAAACTAATTTCACACTGACACCTCATCTCTGAGGCTTCTCCACTACAGACTTTACACTGCCAATGAAGGGCCTTTAACACGCTCTCACCAAGGAGCAACTCCTGGGCAAAAGGGGTTTTGCTTCATTTGTATATTCTGTGGAACCAAGAAGTGACTTGACTTTTAAAACTGCTCAGTGCTAATTCTTTTCTCCCAAATTGTTAAATCACTGTTGTTGATATCAGCACAGAGACATGATTCTAGCTGCCACCAAGAATTTACTGACCACCCCAAACTTTTGGTGTGGAGAATTTAAGCAGGTTTGAAAGACATTTCAACAAAACATTCTTCCCCACCCAGAACCCAGCATTTTCTTACACCCTAACTTTGCCAGTCTAGACAACAGCCAGTTGATGGCAGTTCCCCATCTGTGCTGTGAAGCGGCCTCGACAATGAGAGCCCTCTAGATACCGCTCCCAGCTGAAGGTGGAAGAAGAGGCACCTTGCAATATTCTTGCATTCTGCAACCTAAAGATCTAACATTTTTAAATTTGTCCTATATTTTCATGCATCACAAAATGGCTTTTTATCTGTTGTTTCATTTCACCTCTGAGATTTCTCTGTGTTGTTAAAGAATTCTCCCTGCTTTGGTTAAGAGTCACATAAAGGGCCAGGGATGTAACTTAGTGGCCCCGCACCTGCCTGGCAAGCACAAGGTCCTGATTTTGATCCCTGGTACAAAAAAAAAAAAAGAGAGAGAGAGTCATATAGATGCACTGGGGCCAAATGGATTTCTATGAGAAAAACACTTTTCTGGATGGATGGGTGGGTGGATGGATGGGTGGATGGATTGATGGGTGGATGGCAGGTGGATGGAGAGAGAAGCAGAGAATGTACAAAATATAGACTTCTTCTTACATCCTCACTTTATAATTCAGATATTACTTTACCATATTAAGTGCTCTTTTCCTTTTGGGAACTCAGTTCTGACTTATTTCTCCCTAGTGTTGTCTTCCCCTAAACTCACTTGACTTTCTACAACTTACTTTCAGGAGGGCTCATAGTGCTGATAAAAATGTCTAAGTGTTATGTAACTAAGTAAAAGATAAGTGGAGAAAAATGATGGAAATGACTATGATTTTGAAGTTCTCTTTAAAGAATTAAATGCTTTTTTTAACAAAAAAATCCCTCCCTACTATTAAATTGAGATCTGAAGGTAGTTTTGGGAAAAAAGCACCGTTATCAAGGTCTGTAGCTTATTATAGATTGTTGCTGTTTAAGATTACAGCTATGATCTTAGGACTCTTTTGAAAGACTTATAATAAATATTGGTCAAAGACTGTTGGGTCTAATAAGGATTTCCGAGATTTTCTAAGAGGTGGTACTTGGAATCCATATTTTGACTTTCTTCCTAAAATTTTGCCCTTACAATGTTTTCAGCAGTGGTGAGGTTTAACACAGTATTTGGGAACCTCAAACCCTCCCATTATTCAATAAGAAAGTAGCTTTTTTAGATGATAAAATGCAACACCCAGGTCCACTATTGGGAAAGTTTAGAAAGAGCCTAGGACTGCATTTTCCCTCCCATTAATTGAGATTATTCAATCTCTTGGAACATGAGTGGAGCGTAATATGAGGATTTGACAACCAAGAAATGGAAGCATTGTGAGAGTGGGGTGTGGGTCTCCATATCTGACACTGCCAGGCACGAGGGCAATATTGAGGAGGGAGCCCAATAGTGAGAGATGGGGCTTCAAGAGATTCTCCATCAAGGCCCCAGCCATCTGCGAACTATAATTGCCTTAGAACAGAAACCCGTTACTGTCCATGAAAACCCAACATAAACTAGGAAGCAAACAGCATTACGTTTTACTGACCAGGCCTTAGCACGTAAGTCTCAGTACTAGGGGAGACAATATTTTCTTCCTTCAGTTTATACATACATATTTTTAAGGAAAAGTTGAGGTTGCCTATTTTTTAATCTGATGACCTGGACAACTTACCCATAATGCCTAAGGATACTTTCAAAGGCCTTTTAACATATTTTATAATCACTCTTGAATTTCTACCTAAATCTGAATATTGACAAAAAATTATACACTGTGTGCTCAGAGAATATTGCCGTTAATGATACCATTTGTCATTGTGCTCCCTGAGGAGTTCAGAGAGTGTAGTCATCATTCATATAAGACAGATTAAGGACTCACTGCTGACAAAGGGGAGGAGGCTCCATTACCATCCTGGAAAAAATACTAACATTAATATCACTATTCCTTTGAGTAATTAAAGTCTAGTTGATAATAAAATGAAAATGATTTTTGGATCTTTTTCTAATTCTCCAAGTAGTTTTTATGTTGACAATTTTTTTATGAATTGCATCAAAAAGATATACAAAGCCCATGAAAACTACACAAAAGCCAATTTATAATAGCAATTCAGAAAGAAACCCACCTCGTCCATAGGTTGCACCTCAGAATCATTTGGGCAGAATAGAAAGTGAAGGAAAGCAATTGCATTCCCCCAGTCTCTCCAAATGCTGTTTTACACCATTATAAAACGGCTGCTTGGCTTCTTGGAAAGCTTGGGTCCAGACAGCTTCATCACTCACAGCAAAATATTTTGAAACCTTGGTTTCAGTTCAGAGTCTTGTACAAGATTAAGTTGTTTTCAAGTTGTCATTGCTCCATGAAACCTCATTTTGTATTTAATGCACTAAACTCTTGATGCAAACATCTTTTCCATCTAAATGTAAAACAAACCATATGATGGTATTATAAAGGGAATGAATTATTTCCGACCATGAGACAGGCAAGATGTATTACTTTTTTAAAAAATCTGTTTTCTACTGAAATGTTAGCTCTGTTGGTTCAGGAGGTCCACACAGAAGGCAAAACAAATGTCTTAGAAGACACTTCTTCCAAAGCAGAGATGTTTTTTAACTTATTGCTTTTTATTTTATGGATAAAAGATAGGAACACAGAGGATAAAAACAGAAAGCAGAGAAAAGATGTTGGTAAGAAAAAATTAATGTAAACACACTGAGAAACTAAGAGGACAAAAATAGACTGTACTAAAACTCAAAAAATGAGCTTAAATACAGGAAATTAAAAATAAATTACACTGTACTAAGTGAACACAATGATTTTTTTCAAACCCAAAAAAAATCTACTCAAAAAACTAAATATCAGCCTGGTGTAGAGGCACACAACTGTAGTCCCACCACTCTGGAGGCTGAGGCAGGAGGATCATGAGTTTGAGCTGAGCCTGGGTAATCTAGCAGCTTAGCAAGATCCTGTATGAAAATAAAAAATAAGAAAAAGGCTGGCGGGGTAGCTCAGTGTAAAGGCTCTGGGCTCAACTTCCAGGACCAGGGAGGGAGGGAGGGAGGGAGACAGAGAGATCCATATGATCAGAGTATTAGTATACCAATCCTCCCATAACAAAATACTTTGGAATGGGTGACTTAACAGAAACTCATTTTCTCACAATTCTAAGGCTTAGAAATTTAAAATCAAGTTCTGGCAGATTCAGCCTCTGGCCAAGGCCCTCTTCCTGGCTACAAATAACAACCTTCTCACAATGGCTTCCCATGGCCTTTCTCAGTGCATATACAGCCTGGACAAGGGAAGCCAGGTCAGGGAATCAGCACAGGTGTGGATGAGCATTCTGGTACCTCTTCTTAAAGGAAACTAATCTCCTGGGATCGGGGCCCCACCTTTATGACCTCATTTAACTAAATTACTTCCTTCAAGACCCCATCTTCAAATTCAGCTTCACTGGATGGGGAGGAGTTTCCATTATTTGATCTAACAGTTTCTTTTTTCTTCAAGACTCTCCTTCTCATTGTTTTTTCAGAGGAAAGGCAAAGAAAGCTTTATCCTTAAATTTATAGCCCTTTAGCAGAACTACGCAAAAACTTGGTTTGCTGTGGAAGTGACTGACAGCGCACTTTTTTTGGCAAATTCAAAACTACTGTTTCAGGGTCCCTGGAGTTCATTTTCCATGTATCACTTAGAAATTTGTGGGGTTTTTTGGTACCAGGGATCGAACTCAGGACCTTGCCCTTGCAAGGCAGGCACAGTGCCACTGAGCTAAATCCCCAGCCCTCACATAGAAATTTTAAGTTCAAATCTTTGGATCTGTGAGACAAAAATGATCCACAACACATTAGTTAATATTTTTATGGATCAGTCTTTTCCATGATCCAACTTCAAGCATAATATTCTATTTCTGTAACTGGCTGATGTAATAAAGGCATTAGTTACTAATTGGGTAATACATCTAGGGAAAACAGGGATGAGAACAGCTTACTGACTGTTTATGGGTGGGATTTCATAGGCATCTCCCCTGCGCAAAGCCTGGGACCACTGTGGCTTACAAAGTGGGGGCACTCAGTGGAGCATTTCTTGGGAAGCATCTTTTACTTGCCCAGCAGTTGTTGATTTCAGAGCCTTTCTCTGTTTTAAGGTGTGACTGAGCATTTTTTGAGAACTCAAACTCTGCTATTGTTTTTAGCCCTGCACAAAACACATCAAGGTGCCACAATATTGTGAGCCTTAACCATCTGCAGAAGCTTAGTTTCTGACAGAAAGCTGACTTAAAGCCTTCCTACTGGAGTAAAATAGGATTTTCTCTCAAGGGCTGTGGGATTTTCCCTTTCATCTTATTTACAAAGGCCTTCTATTTATTCATATTACCTAAGAGAGGAAGAAATTAGATAGCCAGTATCACTGTATTTAACAGACGTTCAATAAATATTGGATGAGTGGACAGACGGAGGAGCAAAATCATTGCAATTTCCACATCATAGCAAATGTGTCATTGTAATTTATCTAGTCAAACTTCTTTCTCCTAGATGTCTTTGAAGAAATTATTTTTCTGAATAGTCTTAAAAATAATAACCAACATTTTTTGAGTGTTTACTATGGTACATGACAAACACTGTTCTAAGTTCTTTTCATGGATTACCTGTTAATTCTATAACAGTGTTGTAGAACATTCTGGAACAGAATTCATATTTAAAACAGCCTTGTGCCTGACTTCCTATTTAATAAGAATCCATATGAAAAGTGTGTCTTTGTTAATCCTATCTCCAGCTGTCCCTACGTTAGACAGGGCATCTTCTGTCGCTGGCAGCCTCCCACACACTCATGGCCCAGGCAGGCACACCTTTTCACCAGTTCCCACGGAAACCTAACTGGGGAAATGAAACACACTACCTTTCTCAGAGGAAGGAGGAAGAGAGGAGAGGGCCCTGCATTTAAAGACGCTGCAGTTTCCTTGTGCATGTTCTTCCCAAGGGACTTCACTGGCCTTTGAGCATTCAGTGTTGGCGTCTGGAAATAACCCACCTCCCACTCCAGCTCTTGTAATGTTAGCTTCAGGAAGGTTAATTCTCTCAAAGGGCCTCATCCATCTTCCGCAGGGCCTCCTCCACATCCACTCTAGAAGCAGCCTATGCAGGCTCATCTGGTCATGGGAATTCAGGGTGGCATCAAACAAGGAAGCACTCTCCAGCCCTCAGCCCTCCTCTCAGCAGGCCGTCAGAGTGCTTGACTGCCGCTGCCTCCTGTAGCCAGCCAGCTTATGCTTGCACTTTGTTCTTGGGCATAGATGCGAAAGAACAAGTCTTTCTTCTTACCCTTTTTTAAAGAACTTGATATTCTTCAGTGCCTCATTTGGCACCTGCATTTCACTTTTAAATGTGCACCTCGGACACATCATAATGGCAAGGAAGAACCATCACAATAGCCCCCACTACACTCCACACATCTGCTCTTTGTGTCCCGTCCTGCAGCTGTAGATGTTCTGTGACACTGAGAAAAGGGGAAGAAAGCAAGGTTCCGATGTTTCTCATCAACTTGCTAAAGAAATGTTAGCCATCAAGCCTCCAAAACTTGGTTTGGGCTCAAGAAAATCAAGAGAAAGTATATCAGTTAAATGCTGAGTGTTTACTATAACTAGCTTTTTGAACAGTACAACAACTGTATTACAAAACAAAGCTGGGAAGCCTGGTATAATGGCACAAAGCACATCCACACCTATTTGTTTAGGACTGAGGAAGGAAGGCAGTGTGGAGTAAGATAAGATCCTGAACTGGGACTCAGTCACCGAAGCCTGGTCTGGCTGTGACCTTCCTTCTGACCTTCCTTTAGCAGATCACTTCCTCTCAGGCTCCTCATCCATCAGATGGGAGCGTTGTGCCAGTGAGCCGGAAATTCTGGAGCTCCTTCCCTTGGAGGCCAAAGCTCCAATTTTAAGTGGCTGCAGAGGTCTGTAATTGCAGCTTTTCTTTTATGATCTATTAGTTTCCATAGGATGATTCCAGTAACAAGTTCTTACATAGAAAGGCTGCCCCACATTAAAGGCATTCCAGGGGACAGAAGTTCAGCCTCACGATGAGGTTTTTAAAGGTCTGTAGGGCCTGGAAGGCAGTGAGGTACACCAATGTTTTAGGGTAAATGAGTTCTATTTTTATGTAGATATTTAAGAGCTGGCAGTTATTTTTACCCAGCATCATGCCACACTGGCAGAGCTCCCAGGCGAGAAGAGCCAGCACCCCTAAATTCTGAAGTGAGTGGAGACAAAGAGGTAAGAACCTTCCTGACCGCCTGAACTAAAACCCAGGCGAGCAGGGTCCAGGTGGCCCTCAGAGTACTCCCTGAAAACCAGGAGTGTGGCCTCATAACCAGCCACGACAGCTGAACTTTCAGAACTGCTCTGACTCCGCCCAGGTTTTCATTTTCATTCTCTGATGGGACAGAGTGCATTGAAGTGGGCTCACCCTCCTTTGGCGTCTCACCCAGGACCCTCACAGACAAAAGTAAGAAACTGAGTTGCTTCCAACTTCAAATAGGTTTCTGGTTTAAGAGGCAACCTCTGGGCTGGTGGCGGCAGCACAGGGCCTCCCCTGGAGAGCCATTTACTTTTTCTGGGATGAGCCATCCATGCCAGACAGTAGGTCAAAGCATAAGATACATGTGAACAAGCTGAGTAAGAGCCTTGATACTGGGCCATGAGGGTACAGGCTGCTGCCACTTCGTGGGTAAATAAGAGTAAAACAAGTTGATAGGTCCAGAGACCTTCCTGGAGATGCTCTCTGTTGCCTGGAACTGTTCTCTTCTGTCTTCGAGGCTGTTTACAAACTTGCTCTGAAATCCCCAGGGAACAAAGCAAAAATGGAATAGAAGCTGATTCACTGTTACTGAGACTTTTTCTTTTTTTTTTTTTTTTGAGGTACTGGAGTTTGAGCTTAGGCCTTCACACTGATCTACAGCCAAGCCCTTTTTGTATTTTTTATTTTGAAATGGGGTCTCACTAAGTCACTAAATTGCCCAGACTGGCCTCAGACTCTCAATCCTCCTGCCTCAGCCTCCCAGAATGCTGAGGTTACAGGTGTGAGATTATTCTAATGTTTCTTGGAGGAAACATGACTTTTCCTGGTGATGAGATGTGAGATTTCCCCTGAGTCCTTACAACAAGAATAATAGATCAGCTAGAATAAGGCTCCAAGGTGACCAACCAAAGCCCAAAATAATAGAAGCTAAATAAGTAGAATTCTCTAAGTCAGTATGGGAAGTCCAGACTGGAAGACCTCTTCCTAATGGGTGTCAGGACCTCAGATCCTAGTGTATTGTTTCTCTACCTCATGATCCAAGACATTTGCTCATTCACCAGCCAAAATGTCTCCAAGGATGTCCCCTCACCCTTTAAAGACACATCAAGGAAGGTGTGGATACCTCTGATTACACCCCTCTGGCCAGACCCTAGCCACAAGGCCACACCTTGCCACAGGGAAGGCTGAAAAGTAAAGTCTTTCTTCCAGGAGCAGGTAAAACTGGAGATTCTGGTTACTAAACAGAAGGCTAGTATATCTATTTGCTCAGCCACCATCACAAAATACCACAGACAGGGTGGCTTCAGAACACAAATTTATCTTCTCACATTCTAGAGGCTAAAAGTACAAGGTGTTGTCCAGCCTAGTTTCCTCTGAGAATGTTCCTCTTGGCTTATAGCTGGCTGTCTCCTTGCTGTGACTTCATCCTCATGGCTTTTCTCTGTGCCCCTGGGGCCCTTGGGTTCTCTATGTGTCCTACTCTCCACTTTTTATAAGGACACCAGTCAGATTGACTAGGACCCAACCTAATGGCCTCACTTCAGTTTACCCCTTTATGACACTATCTCCAAATATAGTCACCTTCTGGAGGGCTGGGGGCTAGAGTTTCAACATGTGAATCTGAAGGAGACAGATGGGTTCAGTTCATATAGGCAGAAATAGATACTGGAGGGCTGCTGTTGCTTGCTGCCTTCTGCCTGCCATGCCATGGACTGTTTATCCTCTGCCCTGCCACCCTGCCTTGGAGCCAGCAGACTGTGCACTGAAACCTCTACAAACTGTGAGCCAAAATAAATCTTTCTTCCTTAAAAAAAAAAGAGAAATAGAGGGGCTAGGGATTTAGCTCTTTGGTCCCACCACCTGCCTCACAAATGCAAGGTCCCAAGTTCAATCCCCAGTACCAAAAAAAAAAAAAAAAGAAAAGAAAAGAAATAGATATTGGAGAACAATTGGAAATGTATCTCCACATAATCTTCCAGCATCCCTATAAGTGGATCTGTAGTAAATTTTTTAGAGTCATCAGTTTTGTTTCCCATTTTAAATGCAAGACCCCTTGAAAGTGAGAGCCCCAGAATTTAGCAGGTGGTTTTGCACCTAAAGGTGCTCAGTGAAGGCTGTGGGTGATGATGTGACTGGCCAAGGAAGCACAGCCTGGACGGAAGCAGGATTCCTAATTCCCTGCTGCCTGTTTCTCCCACCATACTGCAAGGTTTGACAACCAGCACACCACCCACCATGTGGAAATCTAGAATCATGATTTTCATTTGATTCTCCATACCAGAGGCTACAAGGCCCTACAGCAGTTGTGCCTGGCTCTGGTTTGCATAATTCCAGGGCTTCCACAGGGACCTGACAGACACCAAACCACTTCAAACCCTCTCATGGTCACTGGAGTTCTTTTTGTATCCCAGCTGTAGACAGCCCACTCCAATTTGCTTTATTTTGCTTTCTGTGGACACTCTTCCAAAGCTGCAGGAGGTAAGAGTGGGTTATTGCAAAGTCAAAGCCAGCAGGCCACAACTCTGGGAAAAATTGGAAACCTCAGTGGCCTCTTCCCTGGGGTTGAGACTACTGAACCTCCCAGCCTGGATAAAGGTAAAGTGGGTCCTCAACTTGGAGCAGTGCTTTTACTTTTGCTTCTCTAACCAGCTTGCAAACTGCTGCCCCTTGGGCCAGAGTAAGATTTGACTTGGCAAGAAGACAGAGGGAATTTCTGCTGGAGTATGCAGACAGCCTTGCTCCTGGGGCACCTTTTAAGGCCACCCCAGGATTCCAGGCTCCTGTACCTCCCCACAGAGAAGTTCCCCCACTGAGACTGCTTGCATGGCATAGGACACAGCTCTTCTCTTAGTCCTTTTCTGCCCTAGCAGCAGCCACCTCAAATGCAACTTTGGAAGCCTTACAATACAGCTAATTGTTTGCATTGGATAGTGATGTGTTTAGAGCTTATGCATCTAAACAGACAATTATTTTCTATTTGATAGTGGCACTGCCTGCCTGGTGACTTTGGCAGATGGAGAAAGGAGCTAATCTGTAGATTATAAGCAGAAGGGTTATTGATGAAATGTCACCATCTGTTAGTGTCATTAAAATGATATGAGTCATAAAGAGTTGCTTTTGGGTTTTTTTCCTCTCAAAAAAGGTTAGCTTAGAGTTTACAGAAAAGTTGTTAGATTGTGGATGGCAGAGGGGACCGAGCAGGGAGATGACAGCTGCCCGGGAAAGGGAGGGAGCCTGATGACTCCTCAGATCAGCTTGATGGAGCTTTGGGGAGGTGTATGGTCTGCTGGAAGAAAACCACCATTCGTGTGAGGCAGGGTGCTTATGAGGAATGAGGTAGCACCTCACCTCTCTTCTGCCTGTTCCTGGCTCATCTGTGGAGGTGGCAGTGGGGAGTGATTCACTGGAGTCAAGAGATCATGTTATATCTGCACAGGGACAGTTAGGACGCGCCTGTCTCCTTAGCCCATTGGCCCCATGAAACATAGATTATTCTCATATCCCTGACACCTTGGAAAGAAAGCGAGCCCAGAGGGAATGAATGATTTTTTTCTGTTGCTTCTCCTCTGAGGAGGTGGAGATTCTTGGCACAGGGACCGGAGCCTGTACACACCCACCCCTCCATCCGGGGCGGGAGCCTGGGGCTGGAGGAAAGAACGGTGATGGATGAGCCTGTGCATTGCACTAGCACGGGGCTGGGCCATGTGAGGCCCTAGGGGACCAGAATACCCTGTGCCACCCTCCTAATTCTGCTTGTTCATCTGATCCTCTTCATTTCCTCATATTTGCAGTTTATCAACTCTTTTACCCACCACCAAGGACACTTACACCCAAAAGAGAAGAACCTGTCATGATCAATCTTTTCTAATATGGCTCCAGACCCTCTCCTATTCTTCTTATGGTTTTTAGTCTTAACTCATCTCCTGGAGAGAGGTGAAGTGCGGGTGATGTGTGATCCACTACAAACCCTTCTGTAGGCCCCTCAGGTTTGCAAATACAGTACTGCCTCGAGTTAGGGCCCCATCTAGCCCTGCCCTCCCGTAAAGACCTTTACCATCTGGCCTCAGCCTCCCCTCCTGCCACCCACTTTGGGACAAAGTTGCGGGGGTCATTTCTCCCTCGAGGAAAGTGTGTGATACTGAAAGCAAAAGCATCAGGCAACAGCAGCTTCCTGAAGCCTGGCCAGGCTATTTCCATGGTCTCAAAAGGAAGCCTTGGCAGAAAAGTTCCTGTTGCTATTTTGAGATCTGCTGCTCTGTCCTGCTGCTGTACTTTCATTTTTAAACAAGTAGGGGAGGGAGTGACGTGTGGTGTCCGCAGAGCTGTGCTGCAGGCTCCCAGGGCCCAGCTGACAGGCTGAGAGTCACCCTGCCGGGCCAGAGCCGCCTTCCATCTCTTCCAGCTCCGGCACTGCAGAAGCTGCTGGCAGCAGTGGCTGGCAGGCAGAACCCAGGCAGCACGCTGCCGAGTCGGACTGGGAAGTTTGCACCCTGGCTCAGGGTCCCACACAGGGTCAGTGTCTTGTTCAGCTTGAGCATCTGTCTCTCTCAGAACTAAGGAATATGTTTTTGCATAATAAGCCTTTGGCTGCAAGTAAAATGGTTTAAAATTCAACAAGCTGATAAAGCAGGTTAAAAAACATACCCATGCAAAAAAAAAAAAAAAAAAAAGAAAATCATTGAATTTATTCCTGGGCCAGGGGGAGGGAGTAGAGCCTCTCTAGATTATTACAGAATTGTTCCTGCAGTGATTTTTTCACTTGCCTGCCAAAAATCAGTGCTCTACAAAACAATAAAAGAAGATTTCAGTTTCATCAGTGCTCTCCCCCCAGGAATTCTGAACCCCCTGGCACAGTCCTCGGGGAGGAGGAGGAGGAGGAGGGAGACAGGCTCCTCTTTGTTGCTCTGCAGATAAGATTTCTCATGATAAGTTCATGAATAGCAGCTATAGCCCACGTCCAGTAATCAGTTGACAAAAGTGAGCTGAAGTGTGTTGAAGGACAGAGAAGAAAGTTCTTCCAGGCACACAGCTGGGCAGTTTCCCACTTGGTAGCAGACCGGCATCTCTTATAACCCTAAAAGCACAGTAGAAAGCAGGCCCAGGACAGGTTCTAGTGAGTCTGGAGCTCCCAGGCCCTGCCTTGTGGTCTTTCTGCTTGGCCTGTGTCACTGTCTTCACTGTTGTGTGTTCTGTTTGCTCTCTCATTCTACAGAAGACCACAGAGACAACTGAGGAAGAGGATGACCAACCCCTCAGCCTGGCCTGGCCTTCCAACTCCCGCAAGCAGGCCACATTCCTGATTGTCTTCCCCATAGTGTTTCCTCTCTGGATCACCTTACCTGATGTTCGAAAGCCTGTAAGTATTTTTGAAACAGGTGTCTTGTAAAGTATAACTCCCTAGCACAATCTGCTCCTGTTTGTGTGAGGGGACAGGAGGTGACAGGGAGATCTGGGTATTCTTATGTATGCCTGAAACTTCTGTGGACACAAGGTCCTAGTGGTCATTCAGGTTATCAAACTGCATAGCACCTGCCTAAGTGGTATGAAACCACTTAGGCATGGTATGGGTATGGGTCCTGCAGCCCAGGAACTGGAGGAGAGCACACTGGATATGGAGGGGGGGAGGGGGGATGTCTGCTCCACAGTGTCACCTTAGCTGGGAAGACCTGAAAGGCTAGGGTTACTCATGGCTGGAGCTGCAGCTGTCTGGAGGATTCTGGACCTGGGGAAGAATCATTCCTAGGCAGAGATGGTTTACTGCTGCCCTGTATGTGGTCCTTTGTGTGATTTCATGCTTCCTCACACCATGGTGGCCTCAGGACTGTCAGATGTCTTGCATAAGTGGTGAGGGTTCCAAGAGGGAGCCTTCCAATGGAAAAGGAAAAGGCTGCATGATCTTGATAACCTAGTGTCAGGAATTTCGGAGTCACTTCTACTTTGCTCTACTGGCCAAAGCAGTCACGAGCCAAAAGTTTCCATAGAATACATTGTGTCACATAGCATATGACTGTCTTGATAGGAAGAGTGTCAAAGAGTTTGCAGCCACATTTTAAAACCACCACAGTGATTGTCTCTGGGAAGAACAACGAATAGGAGGTCTGAATAGGAGGACAACTCACTTTTCCTTGAATTTTCATATATATACATAAATTACTCACTTAATTCAAAGTTTAATTCAGGCCAGGGATTTAGCTCAGTGGCGCCACACCTGCCTCTCAAAAACAAGGTCCTGAGTTCAATCCCTGGTAACAAAAAAACAAAAAAAAATTTAATTTAAAGAAATGCATTTGTGTAGGGAAAACACCTATATGTCTTATCTTCTCCCTCCTGTATTACTATCAATACTATCTGCCCTTATTAGGCACCAGTCCTGTGAACACAGAACCACTCTACAGGGTAGATTCTGATTGTAGATCAAACAAGAGACCAGCCCTTCCAGGACTGTGGAACTGGGTTCTAGAACCACATGTTAGTTCTTGCTGAGGAAGTGAAAGAGCTAATGAGAGCAAAGGGAGAAACAGCTCTGCTTCTCAGGATGGCACCACACACATACACTTCTTCAACAAAAGCAGGTACTGCCATATGTTAAATTCCACACGAGGTCTTTTCAGTAAACTACATGGTAGAATCTCAGGCAATATCTAATGCATGAATGTATCTATTACTGGCATAAGTAGAAAGAAACTTAGGTTCAACCAAGTCAACTAACTGAACCTGATCCTTTCTGGAAGACAGAGCCAAGATTCAGTCCCAGGTCTGACTGAGTGACTTTCTTCATATTTCCTGATACCAGAAGGTGGACATCTGGGAAAAAATCATTCTAAAAAGCATTTGGAATAGAATATTGTGATAATATCCAGCATAATTTAGCATAAACCTTCAAAAGACCCCAGATGATCCTACTTCCTCATTTGAAAAAAAAAACAGAAGAATCCCATCCTGTTAGCCTGGCCTGTAAATAAAGAATTCAGCCTGGTGGAGAGCCATTTAAACACCAGGAAAGGACCTGCTTTGGGAAGAAGTCCTAAAATTAGAGATTTACTTGTAAAGGATGCATATAACAGGTGTGGCTAAATTAAAACAATATTTGGGTTTCTATATTCAAAATACAACTGCAGGCATCTGTTCTATGCAAAGGCCTGGCTTGCTGAAAACCCACAACCAAATAGTTCTGTGTGGCTCGCTCTCCCCAGTGACTCAGATCACACTGACATTTCTGAAATCTCTGTCTCCCTACCTCTTTTTATATCTCTATCTTTTACACTTCTGTGCTGTTTGCCCAATGCTTGTGTTTGCTGCAGCACTGTTTTTAATCCCCACAGAAGGTCTAGTGCCATGAGGCCCCAAGGAAGGGCGCCATCTGGTGGACAGGAGGTCCACCTGAGGCGGGAGGAGGTGCCCAAGCTCCCGGCCTGGGTCCTCAGCACCCGGAGGACCCTTAGCATACAGGGTGGCAAAGTGATCGTCCTGTCTTGAGCTAAAAGCTCAAGGAAGCTGATAGACAAAATCAAAGGCTCCCAAACAGCAATTCCTGAAAACAAACAGAAACCGACCAGGGCAGTCATCGCCGGGCCATGGCCACAGCTCCACTGACTCTGTAATGCCAAAGGCCAGGAGGTAGGGAAATGAAGCTGCACATGGCAGGCCTGGCAACCAGTGGGGCTTTGCTACGTGACTCCCCCTAGAGCCAACCACGGAATGGACTAATTTTTCGTGTATCATTTTCTGAGTATACTATATACTGTTTCAGGCAGAAATGAGAATCTCATAAAGAATATTTGGTTGTTTTAAAATTTCCTCAGCAAATACTTACTAAGGATGTGTTATATGCTGCTAAGTACCGGGCTTGGGCCCTCAGCGAGATATAAAGACACAGAATTCACAATTTCTCTCCTTAAGGAGCTCTAAGTTTAGTAGAGGAAACAAAGCATGCCCACATAAAACTACAAGGCAAGAGTGTACTTCTGTATTAAGAAGAGGCACTGGACTCGAACCCAAGCCTCCTGACTACCACATTCTGTCAGTTGACTGCAGTGGTTTTTCCCCTAATTTATTAGCTGTGCAACCTTGGGAAAAACTTCTCAATCCTGGATAACATTTCTCCTCTGCTGGGAATAAAGCTGTAGATTCCCTGCCATGACATTCTGTGATAAATAAAAAGAAAACTACCAATACAATATTGCAAACAAAGGTGGCCATATATCCAGTTTTCCTGGGAGAGTCTCAGCTCATGTGCAAAGCATACCAGTTTGGACAAATTATGTGTGCATCTTCCACATAAATGAAGAACCCATGCCACTTGGTGCAAAAGCCATTAAGACCCTTCTTGATCTTACTTAGTATGGAAGAGTTTCATTAAACTTGATTTTGTATGAGTTGTCTTCTGCCATGTAACACCATCTTAGGCTTGCTGACTTTAAACAACATGCATATTTTTAGTCCATAATTCTGTGAATTAGGCTGGGGATTTGGCTCAGTGTTGCCGCCGCCTGCCTCACAAGCGTAAGGTCCCGAGTTGGATTCCCGGTACCAAAAAAACAAAACCAAAAGCATAATTCTGTGAATTGGAGGTTTGTATTAGGCTGAGCCAAACAGTTCTCTTGGGGAATGATTACCACAGGGCTATCTCAGCTAGAGCAGCTTTACCTTGCTCCATGTGGTCTCTGATCAGTAAGTGGCTACCTGGGCTTAGTCACAGGGTGGAAAAGTGCCAAGAGCAGCAAGAATGAAGACTACAAAGTTCTTGTGAGGCCTCTTTTCAACTTACATATTGTCATTTCCACCCCAGTCTGGTGATCAAAGCAAGTCATTAAAATGAGCCCAGAGTCAGGGGCAGACAGACCTCACCTCTTTGTGGGAGGAGCAGCGAAGTGCCATGGCCAGTTTTGCCATCCTACCGTGGACCTGTGTACTTCCAAAAGGCCTCTTGAGAAAACATCCAGGGAGAGGAAAGGGAGGGGAGACAAGTATTAACTGACAGACCCCAGCTACTCTTTAAGGCCAGGAAGCTGTCTTCTCAGGGAGATTTTTAATTGCTCGTGGAGATAAACGTCTAAAACTTTCACAATAATTACAGGGAAAACATGATTGTATACTTGTAGTTTCAGAGTAAATAGCACTCCCACTTGTTTTTATTATCACTTCATTTATATGCAAATTATATGGCAGTGTTTATTGGATGGTACATAATTTTAGTTTGGGTAATTAATATGAGCTTCACATTTATAGTTTTCTTAAATTAATGGCTTTGTTTCAAAAGTAGAAGAACTAAAATGTAAACCTTACTGAGAAACATATCTTCAGTGAAAGTTAAAATTAACAAAATAAGGACCCCAAAAGTTATCTTCTCTCCTCTTGTGGGCTAGGATAGGTGCCCTTACAAAACAGGAATATATCTAATGAGGTGTGAAAATTCCTGGAGCTAGGGAGGAACCTGAGAACTCAGCTAGGTATTTGCAATTTCTCTCTTTTGCTCAGTCACTGAGTATTTATTGTTTGCTATGAGCCAAGCATGGTTACAGCCAGAATGAAGTGATTAGTACCCAGAAAGATTTCCTGTTGTCCAATCACAATTAGAAAGAGGCAAAGCCAAGACTCCAGACCAGTTCTCCACAGTCACTTCCACTCCCCAGTGCTAGTTTCCTCATCTCTTTAAAATGAGGATAATATTGTCTAGTAACAATTTTTGTCTGAGTCCTTTTTATCTTAGTTACTTTCCTCATCACTGGGACAAAATACCCAACACCTGCAACTTGAAGGAGAAGTTTATTTTGGCTCAGGGTTTATAGAGGTTTCAGTCCACAGTCACCTGGCACGGCAGAGGGGCATGGTTAGGGCTGTTCCCTGCATCAGAGGAGCAGAGTGAAGGGAGGAGCCGGGGAGGAGCATGGGCCTCTAGGCCACGCCTCAGTCAGCTCTGAACCCCAGAGCCCACCATGTTAAGTCCACAAGGCTCTTGGGAACATCTAAGCATAGACCATAGAAATGTGCTAGGGACTTTGTTAGACATTTTAAATCTTCAGAACAATTAGATCTTGATACTTCCTCCATTTTTCAAATAAAGAAACCAAAGCTTAAAGAGATTATAAATAATTTGTCTAAGGACTCATCACTGATAATCAATCTGTGAACAGAGGTTCCAAGCCAGTCATGTTGACCCAGGCACCGTGCTATTAATGTTCACGGGATTGTTGTGGAAAAACTGTCAAACGTGTATGTCAAGCCAGGTGTAGTGGTATACATCTGTGGTCCCAGAGGCTGAGACAGGAGGATCACAAATTCAAGGCCAAGGGCCAGGATTTAGCACAGTGGTTTCACTGCCTGCTGTGCAAGCGCAAGGACTGATGTTCGATCGCCGGTACCAAAAAAAAAATTCAAGGCCAACCCAGGTAGTATAGTGAGATCTCTCCCCCAGCCCCCCAAAAGCAAAATTCAGAACCTTGCACAGAGTAGATGCTTGGTAAATATTTGTTGAATTTAAATCACTAAGGATATGGCCAATTTGTGGAGCTAGCTAATGTCCAGCAACTTTTTTCAAGCCAAGCCAGTAGCATTCTGATACACTAAAAGCTTTTAATGAGAACATTAGCTGTCAATTGTCTAAGTGAACCATTACATTGGAAACAAAATGGACAGCACATGGACCCAATTGCTTATTTGCTAATTAGTATGAGGCCTATCCCGAAAGATGTCAGCGTGAGCTACCATTGCTAACCACAAATCAATATGCTAGACCTTGGCTCCCAGGGCTGTGTTCTTTCTTCCAGTGAGACTGGTAACCAGTAAATGTACAGGTGCTATGGGACAGCAGTATATGGAATGACACCATGGAGTCTAAATAAGGAAACTGTTCCAGGAAAAAAATGAAAGAAGAAATCGCATGGGTTGTGAGGCTGGATGTGGTGAGGTAGTTTGACAGGGAAACACTTAGCCAAACTGCTGATGCATGACAGGTTGAAACTTTCAAAGCTGGAACAATATGGGAGGTTGGGGAAGGCAGATGGCCATACAGCTGGAATGCTAGTCTCTATTTCCTTGGTACTTTTTTTATTTTCTGACATTCACAGCACAGCCTAGTATTATGATGATTATCATTATGTCTCTGGCTGGGTATATTTTGGGCATTACTGGCCCTACTTTTCTTCAGAAAAGAGTCAGCATAACCATATATGTTAGAAGCTCATCCTAAAAGCCAGGCAGATCTAGGTTTGCACTTTATCTCTACTGCAAGATCTGGGTATAGAGCAGATGCACCGCCTTTGGCTTCCCCAGGTTTATAATGAAGACCCTAAAATCCACAAAGAAATTTATTTTTTAGCCTTTTTTTTAGCCTTTTATTAATGATCTCCTAATTAAAAATTTGGTACTTTTTGATGCCTGTTAATTGCTAATCAGTTTCTTGATTAAGAAACATGAGCATCAAATATCGAGGAGTTTTTCACCAAGAGGTGATTTAAATTTAGTTCCTTTAAGTCTTTAGTCTAATGCCTTGCTTTCTACCTTTGGACAGGAATGTTCTAGAGTTCAGTGATGATATTTTCCAAGTGAGATAGAAGGTCAAATGATTTGATTCTGACTAGTGAAATCATCTCAATGAACATACAAAGGTAAAAAATTAAATATGGAAGATAAATTATAATTGCACAGTTATGAAAGGAGCTAATCTGGAGAGTGGGCTATGAAAGGATGATCTCCCAGGACATGAGCACAGATACCACACTGTGAAGGTTGCTCTCAGCTTTCTTTATGTGATGCTCAGAATCAAGCACCAGGTGATGTTCACATCATGTGTAGGCCACACAGCCAGAGGGGCTCTGCAACAGAGCATGACCCTGGCAGCTGGGAACTCTTGTTGCACTCAGGTTCCTGAGACAATGACTCATGACCAGAGGACAACCTGGAAACTCCAGTCAGCTCAAAGTTTTTCCTGGCTCTTAGCACTGCCTTGTGGAATCTGGTCCCTAGAATCCAGATGAACTCCAGGTTTAAAGAAATTTACTTTCAGAAGTGAAGATTTCAGTCCCTACTCTGAAAAACTGAGCACTTTATTCTCTGTTTCACCTGAGTCCTTGTCCAAAATATTTTCCTTCTAAGAAAGAGAAGAAGCACAAGGAGCCATTTAAGGGTAAAGTTTTAGGTATCACTATGGCCCGGTACCCCCCAATTTATTTAAGCCCACTTGGTCATCCAGACATCCTAGCTGATGACATCCTAGCAAAATCAGCAATCATTTAAAGAGAGAAATTATTATTGTTACATTTAAGAACAGTATGAATATAAGAACAGTATGAATATAAAAACATTCACTGAGATTAGAATTAGTAGAGAACATAAGCCTGGCTTGGAGCTTATACCGTCATTATACCATAGACATTCAAAAGATTACGCGTACAGGTTTTATCTTTTTTTCCTAATCGAGCTCTCATGGGCCATGGCAGAGTGTTCTATATGATGGCCCCATCAGCCCTTCAGACAATTGAAATTGCTTTTGTCCGGGCCAACTCATTCTCATTTGTGACTAACATAGCTGAATAGCATTATCAAAATGAAAACTGGAATTGTTTCTCAGTGTGGAAAGTTTTGAAATAAATAGTGTTTGGCTATAACAGGGAGAAGCCCTGGGACAGCAGTCTGCTGTCTGAGCATATTTTAAGGGACTCCAAGTTTTCCACAAAGAGCATCAAATCCAGGCCTCCACAAAGCCTGGATGTCCTACGGTTTCATCAGATAAAAAACACTGCATTTTGGATGTCTTGCTTTTTGGTTAATATGCTTGGAAACCTTAAAAGTATTCGCAATGTAAGCCTGAGATTGTACACAGCCCAGCTGAAAAAAGAATTGGACATCATATGGTGCGGTGTGAAAACAGGAGAGAAAGCATTCCCAGGAGCAGTCACTGACCCGTCCTCCCTTTCCCCATCCCCAGATGAGATCAGCCCAGTTGGGCATTTCTGCCTATATCCACTCCATCTACCAGGTGTGGCACCACCGTGAATCTGTATAAGCGGTGGTGGTAGCTTCATCTGCATGGCTTTCCTGGCAGTTCGTGGGACGTAAGAGCTGTTTGTGAATCCTCCCACTCGTTGTTCAATATAATTAATCCCATGGGTTTCTGGCAGGTGGGTCATTAGACACGCGGTTTACAAGTCGTAGAACCTGATTCTGATGAACTTGGGAGCAAACTAAAGAAAGGAGAAGTCTAAAGTTGTAGTTAACAGAATGTCAGAGAAGCTGAGAAATCAGGCCTTAGAAAGGGCAGGAGCAGAAGTTACCTTAGCATCTACCTGCAGGAACTAATAGTTATTCTCTTTAAGAGACTTCCAGCCCAGGAACCAGCATTATCATCATTCAGCTCCCCCCAATTTCACATTTCCAAGAGGCAATCAGGGGTAGGAGGGGGCTTTTGATTGTTAATCCTACCAAGACATGGGAAATGCAGGAGAAGTAGTTGCAGTAGGTGGTTTTAGCTTTGAACTCCCCCATCACAGTTGACAGTACTAACACTCTTCCCTCTTCTGTTGTCTTTTAGTCATCAAGGAAGTTCTTTCCCATCACGTTCTTTGGCTCCATCACTTGGATCGCAGTATTCTCTTACTTGATGGTCTGGTGGGCACACCAGGTAAGACTTAGACTGATTTTTCTCTAGGCTTCGTTATAGGCAACAGGGAAAGGGGATGTTACCAGAAGCCCTGCAGTGGGTTCTGGTCTCCTGTGAGCCACAATAGCACAAGGCAAATTGAAGAATAAAGATAGGAAATGAGACTTAGAGAGGAAGCTGGGTTCTGGGCCTGATCAATACTGCTCTGGGCAGCAAAGTCGAAGGCACCCCGAGCTTGCCACTATTTATTGGGCTCATAGAGAGTAACAGATGACGCAGAGGACATGATAATCCTAAATTGACAAGGATCTTATAATTGGAGGAAGTATCAGATGTCTCAGAGGTGGCTGTAATCCTATGACCATGAGGATCTTATCCTGACAAGGATCTTAGGTCAATGAGAAGCTCACGTTCATTAGGATGGTGAGATGAGCAAAGATGTTCTTACAACAGGAAGTGGGATGAGTTAAGCTGCTAAAGAATTTGTCCCTCCCCAGGTGAAAACTTTCTCTTGTTACTCAGTTCTCAAGGAACCAGGATGTCTTCAGCTGATGTAATCTTGCCCTTGAGTGTCACAGCATCATAGGACTATTGAGGTTTCAGCTGTGACCAGAGGCAAAATGGAGTTATGTTTCTGCACATCATAGCTGGCCTGTGGGCAAAATGGAGTTATGTTTCTGCATGTCATAGCTGGCCTGTAGGCAAGAAGACTAGGTCTAATCATAATTTAATTGTGAAATGATTTTTCCCAAAAATTATGTAGAATGGCTCCCAACACTTGGTTGCCAAGTGTTTGGGTCACCAATGTGTTTGCTTTCTGAAACTGTCATGGCAACAGTGGACATACGTGTCACAGAAAAATTACACCTTACAGAACTGAACTTTCCTTAGTCTCTGAGTCTTTTCTTTCTCTCCAGGCCTTTCTTTTCTTGTAGCCTGGAATCACATCAGCAGAGCCACTGGAAAGCTATCTGAGAAGGCAAGCCTGACTGCTTCTTGGTCTCCATAGTCTGAACCCAGGCCAACCCAGGCATGGGACAAATACCAAGGTGTTAACTTTATCCTGGACTAGCCATTTAGCATGGCTTTCACTGGCCTTTCAGAACTGGTCTCAGGAAAGGACCTAGAAACAAAATGACCTCTTCCTAGAGCTTCAGTTTATGTAAATAATGATATATTTAATTTTTACCACTTTAAACTCAAAACCAATCATAATACCTTTGTTCATAATAACAGTCCTTGAAAAATATGAAGAATGAGATCACAGCAGTGACCATTGTTAACTGAATGTGTACTATATGTTGGGCAATTCATATCCCTTTGTCCTTATAATCTTGACATTAACCCTGTACATAGATTCAAATCCTATGAGAAAGGTACTACTGTTATCTAAACTCTCCAGATAAAGGAGTTAACCTTGACAAAGAAAATTGTCAATTAATAATAATTTAAAGAAAATTAAGTTGACAAGAAAACTGTCTGAAATCATAGAACTAATGAACAGCAGAACAGCAGAGTCTAACCCAGGGCTCTGCAACTCCAAATGCATACCTTTAATCTTTACTATATAAATTCCAAACTGCCCACTTACAGCCTTTGTTTAATATCATCCTTAAATTATTATTCTTGTTAACATAAGTAAGATGTAGCAATTTGAAATAAAGAAATATATACCAAGAACATATGTGGATAGACTCTTCAACAAATGTTGCTGAAATAATTAGATTTCCATATGCCAAAATAAACTAATTTAGATCTTTACCTCTTATCAAACTCAAACATTAACTGAAAGTAGATCATATTTCTAAATATAAATGCTAAAATTATCAAACTTTCAGAAGGAAGCATAGAAAATCTATATAACTATGTTCTCTTTCTATCACTGTGGCATAATATCTGAGATAATCCACTTACAGGAAAGAAAGGTTTTTTTGGCTCACAGTTTCAGACATTTTGGTCCATGGTTTTTTGGTTTCATCACTTTGGGCCTGTGGTGAAGAAAATCATGGCGGGGAGTATGGCCTGGATGGCCACGAGCAAAGAGAGAAAGAGGAGAGGCTAGAGTCCCAATATCCCCTTCAAGAGAATATCCCACTGACCTCACTTCCTGCCACTAGGCCCTACCTTCTAAAGATGTCCACCACCTTCTGATGCCATCAACAGCGTGGGACCAAGCCTCCACCACATTCCAGATCCAAGCTATAACAACAACCCTATTTGATCAGCACGTGGTCCTATGCCTAAGCTTTTCATTTTTCCTCTAACTCCTCAAAAGTTAACTGACGGGTGCTTCAGGCAAACTTTAAAAGACTAGTTCTCCTTCAGTGACAGGTCTCCTTCAGCACATATTCATCAGGGGCTAAGGTGTAATGAAAATTCTTCGCTATTCATGTGTTTTCCTACATTGTGGCTTGGCCCCAGTAAACTAGCTTTTGTCCCTGCTGCCAGACCCTGGTTGCTATTCTGATAATTTACCAAAGGAAGGGAGTGATGTCTGAGTTATACTGGCTGATATGTCTTGATCAATGACTTTATGTCTGACACTGTGCTCTCTGCTCTCTAAGTATCACCACATGCAATCATCATGTCCACTCTGAGTGGGTGTTGTTATCCTCATTTTACAGATGGGGAAAACTGAGGCATGGAAGGTGGTTCCTTTGTACTGGAGGGACAAACTAGGATTTGCACCAGGACTTCTGTGTCCCAACCCAGTTTTTAACCCACTGCTGTACTTCTCCTCTTCGATTTCTTCCCTTTTCTGTATAAGTGGCATTTAAACTACAAATACAGATGATTCCTGTAAGAACTTAAATTGTTAAAAATGTGTTAAATAAACTGGAACTTTCTTAGGGTGACAATCATTTCGTCATCATCTTTATAGTCCTTGACATTTCCTTCTTAATTTAACCAAAAAATAAGACATTAAGGAGAATGTTTTGCTCACATAGAGCACACCTGTGCAAAACTCATGTACTTGTTCAAGGAGAATCGGTGCAAACCATGTTGGGAAATCACCTGTGTGTGCAGATTGTTCAGCAAATAGATATTCAGAGCCTACCTTCAACCAAGCTGTGCTCAGCAGATAAGGGGCACTGCAGCGACCAAAGCAAGGGCCCTGCGTACACAAAGCTTACTCACTGGTGTGAGCACTGACTCTGTGCCATGTGGACAGGGTAACCTACTCAGCTCACCAGGCTCTGGGCCAGACATAGCATCACAATAAAAACACCTATGTTTTTAGCTTAGTAGGAGCCATGATATAACTTAGAAATCAGAAAGTGAAAGAGATTTAAGAATGAGTGTATCTAGTCCCTAACTCCTTTATCCTTACATGCTATTTCAGTACTTCTCAAACAAACTTTAAATAACCCCCGCCCCCCCGCCAAGAAAGAAAAACCTCTGGATGTCACCAAGTAAGCTGATAGAAACCAAAAAGAAAGTATTATCTTAAAGATTTTCAGAACTTCAGAAGAAATTATGGGTCTGACCATCTTGGCTGCTGGGAAAATACATAAAGCTTTTGTAAAGTCGCTAAAGACAAACAAGTTACTAAAAAGAATGGAAATGCTTTCATCTAAAGCTAGACCAACTGTCTTAATTACTTTTCTCTTGTTGCTGAGACAAAATATTCGACACCCAAAGTTAAAGGGGAAAGGTTTATTTAGCCCACAGTTTGTAGAGGTTTCAGTCCATAATCGGCTGCCTCCAAGGCAGGGTGGCATGGCAGAAGAGAAATAGTTCATGGTGGGCAGAAGATAGCAAAGCAACAAGGGATGACCACAGCTCTTTTTATCCCTTATATCTTATTCAAGCTACTCAGGCCAAGTAGCACTCACCTTAGCATTGCACCATGAATTAATCTTAGGGTCACACACTCTAGATCCAGCCACCTCTGAAAAAGCCCCACCTATGACTACATGAGGCTTTGGGGGGACATCTAGACACAGCCATAACACCAACCCTCCAAGCAGAACTCATCTGTCTGAAGAGGAAAAAATAAAAAAGAAATATAACTGCTGCATCCCCCCTTTACTTTTCAATAATGATATACTATTTATAGAAGGCTTCTGTACAAATTACTCACAATCATTTTGTAAGGTAGATATTATTATCCTCACTTTATAGATAAAAAAGCAAAGATCAAAGACATTGTACAATGAAACCGTTAGCAGTAGTTTAAGTCCTTAATAATTACAAAAGCCAATGCAGGGCTGGGGATTTAGCTCAGTGGTTCTGCCTCCTGCCTTGCAAGCACAAGGTTCTGAGTTCGATCCCCAGTACCAAAAAAAAAAAGCCAATGCACATTGAGGCCATACTTTTAAGTGAAATAAATAGGACACATGTGTAAATACCAAATAGTTTCTCTGGTTTGAGAAACTAAAAGTGTAAATAAGGATCAAAATGTATAATTGATAATTGAAATAGGAAGAAAAGGTCTAAAGGAATAAGGGAAGTGGGAGGGAAAAGGAAAGAAGGGAAAGGAAAAAATGGAAACAAAGTCTTTGTAAATAGGGAGGAGTGGAGGGGTTAAAGGGAGGGCAGGGAAATGGGGAAAAAATAAGAACCAAGATACATCATGTAAAGGTGCAAGATCCCAATGATGAATGTAACTGCACTGTATACCTAAAATGTGTGAATAAACTTAATGAAAAAAATAATAATAATAATTACAAAAGCCAGACTTTGGGCCAAGTTCCCTGCTTGTTTCCTGGTTGTTGTTTTTCTGGCTGTTCTGGTCAGAGTTTTATATTGTGAGACCTGAACATTCCCAAAATCATGTTTCCTATGGAAATGGCAGAGGCTAATAAGTGTGTTTAAGTGTGTTCAGACAGTAGGAAACATTAAGGGAAATGGGGACACTGAGTCAGTTCCTAGCCTTCAATGGTAAATCGAAGAGTGGATCTGCCCCAGACTAGGTGTCCCTGTCAGGCGCTAGTCCCTGGGTTCAAAGGCCACTTGGCTTTCATAACTCTAAAGAGCCCTCAAACCTCTTTCTTCTTGAATTATCTATTAATACTCAGATGAACATTGCTAATTTCTTGGGTCTGAATGTCATAAAAATATAAATTCCTCTATGACAGTGATTGTAGCTTATTTACCATTTCAGCATTTAGCAGAGCACAGAGGAGGAACCCATTAAAAGTGGGTTGCACTGAAATGTTTGTGCTTTGACGGTTTTGTGACTTCCAGCACCCATGTTTGTTCCTGTTGTGATATTTAGGTTGGAGAGACCATCGGCATCAGTGAAGAGATTATGGGTCTGACCATCTTGGCTGCTGGGACCTCCATCCCTGATCTTATCACCAGTGTCATAGTAGCCCGGAAGGGGCTAGGGGACATGGCCGTGTCCAGCTCTGTTGGAAGCAACATTTTTGACATCACCGTAGGGTGAGTAGAGATAAATCTATAAAGCTGTACGCCAGCTCTGCCACTGTCTTTGTCTTCCTTTTTTTTTTTTGGATCAAACTCTGGATTTTGTGCTTTTGATGCAGGTAGCAGGAACACTGAGCTAAATCCCCAGCCCCCACAGTCTTTGTCTTCCTAAAGGCTATGAGATATAACCAGGACCTTCGAGCCCAAAACTCACTAATAACAAAACAAAGTTGACACTGGGCTTATCATTCAGTTTCACCACTCTATTTTTCATTTTTAAAGAACTTAATGAAATATAAGTCATCCCTGTATAATCAGAAACATATACCTGCATATAAAATATATGTTTTAGAAAATACTTCAAGGAAATTTCACTTATATACCCGCATTTGCCACATGTTTTGAATATTCGACATTCAGGACAGACTAAAATGCTCTAGTAGTAGATTTATGGTATTTTTTTCTATATTGTAATTAATATCCTGACAGCTTTGGATGAGATTTGAGTTTTAAGGCAGAATGGGACAAACATAGGCCCCAAACAAATATTGTTTCCTTCCTTGGAAAACACAGCAGTCTTGGAATTCTCTATGCCACAAAAGATACTCTAGGTTTTTTAAAAGTTGGAAGGTGAGATATTTTCTTACAGTTAAGTAAACAGGGGTAGTGAGCCAGATTGGGAAGGATGTTCATTCAGCTAACTTGTCAGCAGTAAAAGGACGCTGACAAATAACCCTGAACGTCCGTCCCCTGAGAAAGTAAAACACTGGACGTTCTCCTTAAACTCCCAAGAGGACAGGGCTCTTGGTACTTGGGTTTGGAAAACCAATGATAGGCATCTACTTTCTCAGTAAATGTCTTAATACTATTCTGTCTTATACTTATTCATTATCACACATGTATATAGCTTTATATAATGTCTAGCATATATACTGTAATACACTGTTACCCATCTAAACCACACAGCAGTCATATGAAGTGTACATCAGCATCTGCATTTCTCAAATCTGCAACCTGCAGGGCACAGACTCCATAAAGCTAGTAAATGAGGTAGGCAGCTGAGGTGTGAACAGAGTCTGTGCCGTTAGCCACACTCTGTGCATAAAACCCAGCTCTAAGCACCCACTGTGTAATCTCGAGTGAGGCCCAAAAGTGCCCGCTCTCCTATCAGGCTGTCTTCCTTGGCTGGTCCCTCTCACTGAGGAGCCCTCCCTGTTTGTCTGCCGGGAAAGCAGACTTCTCCTCCCAGTGTCAACTCCAGTCCTGACCTCTCTGATTCCGCTGGGCCTCACCTGAGGGCTCTTGGGCCCATAGAATCTGCAGATCCTGCTGTTGTTACAGCCCTATCTGCCTACCAGCCTGAGAACACACCAAAGGGGAACCCACTGGGGCCTAGTACCTCACCTGGTGGCCTGACAAGTACTTGTGGAATGCATGAGCACCTGGGTGAATAAACAAATAAATGAAGGCCTTGAAAAGTGTGTATTTTCAAGGAAGTTGTCATAGTACAACAGTGCTGCTTATGCATTTAGAATAGTTTTGAAAATGTTCTGAAGTGGAAAAAGTGAAAATTCTACAAGCTAAGAAAAATTGTAAATATTCAGTTAGACATATCTGTCATGTTTTTGAAAAATAGCTTCCTAGTGAATTGCAAGATGCTCTTTGTTGACTGTTCTTAAATTGTATGTCTATTCTAGCAACAAATGAAAGTTTAAAGAAAAATCGTCCTTAGTCTTACTTCCCCAAACATTTTTTTATTTTTTCTTCCAAGTGTTTCATAGTTTTCTCAGTGAATATTCAGTTTTTTCCTCTAGGAGGGCTCTTACTTTTCCATCTTTTTTCTGTTTACAGTACTGGGATTGAACCCAGAGCCTTCTCACTAAGCTACAGATTTCCAACTCTTTTTTAGTTCAAGACTTACTTCTTAGACTAAGTCACTAGGTTGCCCGTGCTGGGATTGCAGGGATGCACCACCATACTAGGCTTATTTTTTCTACCTTTAAGCCATGTATACCTGATACAAAGAAGTATCTATTAGTAAATCATATAAATCATTTAAGTGTTTGTATAGCTCTCAAATTATTTTATGGCTCCAAATATGCTATTCTATTGTTTTCAGTCCAACCATAATCCTTCAATAGAATTTTATTTTTAATTTTCTGCTATTGTGGATATTTGATAAACACCTTTATCCAGAAAAACTTTCTCCTTTAATTATTTTACTAGGATAAATTCCTTTAAGAAGTATTAATGGATTAAATATTTTGAAAATATTAATGGTTACTGATGTATTTTGCATATTTTTTTGGTGGTTTTTATTTTTTGGTTTTTTGAGACAGGGTCGCGCTTTGTAGTTCAGGCTGGCTCTGAACTCACTATGTACCCCAAGCTAGCCTCAAACTTGCAGTGATCCTCCTGCCTCTGCTTCCTGAGTGCTAGAATTACAGGCATGTGTCACCACACCTGGCATTGCATATTTCTTTTCCAAAAGCTTCTTTCCCAAGAATTTATACCAATGTATGATGTCATCACTAATACATTGACACCACTATCAATATATCAAGTGTAAAAGTTTCTGTAGCTCTGCCAGCATTTTCTTTTTGCCCATCAAATTAATACAGTAAAAAAAATTTGGAATATATATATATATATATATATATACATATAAAGATCAATGATAATCCACCGTCCTTTAAAATGTGTATATTTTGCATGATTAAAATTACATTGCCATTTTATGAAAATTCTTTTAAATTTAAAATTATATGCAAGGCCTGAGGTTTGATCCCCAGCACTTCAATAAAAAATAAAGTTTAAATGTAAAATTATATCATGTCGGGCCGGGGATTTAGCTCAGTGTTTCCGCCGCCTGCCTTGCAAGTGCAAGGACCCGAGTTCGATCCCTGGTACCAAAAAAAAAATTAATT